GTGTTGGGCAGAAAAGTGTTCGTATATTGAGTGAGAGGAGAACCAGTAGACACATGTTGAGGATGACTCATTTCTATCCTGCTTTCTAAAGAGAGGCAGATGAGAGGTTTCGGTGGAAAATGCTTGTATTTTTATGCGGGGATGCATAAGGGATGTGGGTTGATGAGGCAGTAGAGTTCACAAAAGTTGAACATTGTGAGGGCTGTCGTTAGGGGCAGGGAAGCTGAAGAAACAGCGGAAGGAGCAGACAAGCGCGCCCCACTGCATTCTGAGACATGAAAGGATGAAACTAGACCATAAGCCGTGGGCGGGCATCACATCGACAGGCAATCTATCGTGCCAAACGTATCCGTATGATATATGAACAAACAGACTGCCTTACGTCTCTGAAGTTTGAAGGTAATGATCCAGAAATGTGCCGAACACATAGTCAAATCTGCTGTCTGCCTGCCTGGCATTTAAGTTCAAGTGAAGTTTTAATGAACGAAGAATGAGAAGTACACTGTGAATATAGTGAAGTAAATCCAACTTCCGCCTTTTTCAGGGTTCCTCTTTTTTCAGTGTGAGTTCCTGTAAATAATCCAGTCTGTACACGTGGACACTGTTACATCAACACAGCGCCATCGGACAACCAACAATAGTACAATACATCGATCAGCCATACATTACGACCAAGCCTGACGGCACCCTGGTGCTCATAATGTTCAGCAGCCCCAGGACCAAGCAAATGCTCCTGCGACTGTGTGCTGCTGACCCGCTTTCTATCAAGAAAACCAGGTATTAACTGCTTCACTGCAGTTTTATCGACCCTGTCTCCGGATTCTGTTCCTTCCTTCGGATCAACTTGATAGGTACTGACCTCTGCAGACCGGGAACCCCCACAGAGAGCTGCAGGTTTGGAGATGTTTCTGACCCAGTCGTCCATCACAATGTGGCCCTTGTCAAAGTCAAATCCTCACGCTGCCCATTTTTCCTGCTTCTAACACATGAACCTTGAGAACAAAATGTTCACTTGCTGCCTGACATATTTCCCCACTGACAGGAGCCATTATAACCAGATAATCAGTTTTATTCACTGTCAGTGCTCACAGTGTTAGGGCTGATTGGATGCCCTGGCCTACAAATCTTCTCCAGATGTAAGAATACATGTTTGTTTGGTACAGACCACTAAAAAGGTCACATCATCATGAATTTAATATATTTTTCAGTGAAAATGAAGCGAAAAATGTATGATGTAAAAATGATCATTCCCACATTATTGCAAATAATATCACAATATCTGTGAAACCCTAAGATCACCTGAAGCAGTGTTAACAGCCAGTCAGATCTGTTATTTGTTAGCACTTTTATGAAAAAGGAGTGGACCATGTAGACAGTAAACTAGTTTACAGTATACACAAAAGAAGACACAAAAAACCCACATCAAGAACCTACCTAAACATAAATAATTTAATCCAACCCCTTATAACTAAACTAAAGCTGAATTAAAACTTGAACAGAAGTTGTGGGCACAGTTCACAGCACTGACCTCTGTCCTGTCTAACTTACTATTTTTGCGGTGTTATTGTCAGTAGAACTGTATGAAATATCACACACACATGCAATATGGCTTTATGTACAACATTTTCATATTTGGTTACAATCCAATTCAGGAGACTATTTTGTTTTTTTGCTTCAGGAGCTGATAATACTTTCTTTAAACAAAACTAAAAACCAATCTGGCTTTTATGATTGTATTATATTTATATTTATACTTATTTATTATCATTATCAATTTCATTTTGTCAGCAACATTCTACTGTTTTAATTCAATACATTTATTTGGTGCAGCATTTCATCTTTTCATTATCTTACTGTACTGTCGTTGTGGTTTCTTTTTTGTTAATGATTTGTGTTTTATTATTTGCGGTTGTGAAAAGAAACAGTGATTTTTAAGGTGGAACTGCTTTAGTAGTTTTAATCAGCGGGTCTGTTTGTTTAAGAGAGGAGGAAACCTCTGTGGATAATTGGGAGAAGCTGACTGCAATGACGACAATGGTGGTGAAGACAACAACCCCCATCATCCAACTTCATTTTTTGTTATTTTGATTTTAGAGACCCCTAGTGGCAGAAATGACATATTGTACGTTTAAATGAAACATAAACTGTTTTGTTTCTATTTAAAACTGACGTCTTTCTTTGGATTGTGTCTGCAGGTGATGTGTGTACCCGCACTGATGGAGACGCTCTGAGGGTGACAGACAGTGGGAAAGTCCTCACCCTTCCTCCTCCCTCCTCCCTGAAGGCTGCACAGATGTTTTCGCTCGCTCAGGAAAACATCTCCACCTCCCCTGCTTCCACCAAAGGACCGGTCAAATATGGAGAGCTCATTGTGTTGGGGTAAGACGCTCACTAAGGACTCTTTGTTTTACTGCTGTGGTCAAAACTTCTCAACCGTCAAGATGGAGCTTTAAAGGCTTGTTTTAGCCCTGAAACTGCCCACATGTGCACTTTCTGAAGAAGCAGTTTTTGAGATTTTTACAGTTTCAGATCGGTGCTAAAATCAACTTGCTGAGACTTGCTTTCAATCCACCGCAGTGTAAACTTAAGTCTTAGTCTGCTTTGTTTTTAGAGTGTGGTAATTCAGTCTGAGAAAAGGGGATGTGTTGAAACTCATCTTGGTGGTGCTTTCAGGGACACTACGACATCCAGTAATTGAGAATGAGCTGGCAGGAAGTATGCTAAAGTGTTGCATGTTGTTCTCATGCTAAAACCAAAAGACACACTATATGATATATGTAAATCAGAGGTCTCGCCAATGCCCCCCAAAAGTGTCTAACAGGCTAAATATCTGGTAACGAGGTCCAGCCAATGAGAGCAGTGTCTCTCCGGCACCAGACAGGAAGCAGCGAACCGGGTAGTTGCTATGGTAACAGCCGAGAAAACTCCTCAGAAGGTGAATTAACGGTGTTGTGAGCAGCTGACTTTGAGATGATCTACCAGCTCCACCCACAGTGGGTGCTGTCATCCCAAGAGGAGAGGAAGAGAGCCATGCTGACGTTAGGCTGCTCCTGGCTAATGTTTGTGGATGAAACGGGACTTCGGTTGTCCAAACAACAGGAAACCAGAGACTGTGTCCACATCTTTACTGAGACCGGCTCCATTAACATCCCGGATCCTCAATGGATGGACCGGGCTCAGAGCCGACTGAGCGGGAGGAGGCGGACTCTTTTTATGTGAAGATGAAACCATATTATCATCACTACCTTGTTGCTGCTGTTTGTTTGAGTGTATAAATAACTGGATATATTGTCATATTTTCTATGTTGATCTCTGATGTGTGTAGCATGAAGGGACTGCAAACCTTCACTTTGTTGTACGATACATCAGTCTCACTACACCACGATAACACGATAGCACAGATACTTAATAAAGCAACAAAGAGAACTGCTGCAGAGACCTCGAGCGAGTCCCAACAGGCTGCTTCACAGAGCACTAGTTGTTTTTTTCCTGCTCTTTATTCAAACTGGGGAGACAACGGTATGTGGGGCTTTTTTTAAACGTATGATAATGTCAGAAGATGCAGAAATATTGCAGCGCATTGTTTGTCAAGTTTGTCCCCATAAATAAAACACATCCCTCGGTTTAGATGTTCCCTTGTAGTATTTTTATTTGCAGTATGAAATTCAATCCATTGGAGGGTTTTTCTTGTTCAGGAGCAGCAAACGTTCGTCTCGGTGCCGTTAAATGTGTAGAGAAACTCCACCACAGTGAAGAATGCAGCTGACTTCCTGACTGAAGGCCTTTCAGTGCGGACACAGAGAGCGCCTGTGGGTTCGGGGAGGTCGACAGGCGTCAGGAAAGCTGCGGCCGCTGTGGTTTCAGACCTTTTGTTTTGCTTTCGTGTTATATTGTCCACATGTGGAATTAAACAGTCTGGCAGACGCTGTGACCGGCGATTACACTGCTCATAAGGTTTAATTTTAAAGAGCCATATAGTTTGTGTCGTACAGTGGAGCCACAGTGGAGTTGGTGGTCTGAGTTTGTCTAAGAGAGGAGGTGGACTATCTGAAACGCAGGAAGTTTGCGTTATCCAGCGAAAGAATGGCTCCACAACTGCAGTGTTTACTTGACCCGTGGCTGGCAGCAGTCTGGCTCTGAAGATAACCTCCAGCCACACTTTTAATTAAAGCTCCCACAGATTTATTCTGTTCAGCTCAGAATAATGTTCTGCAAATAAATCATGTTTTGTAAATAAATGTAGTTCAATTTCAGTTTAGGAGGCATCCTGATGGCTCGGGTGGACACATTAGTGAACTACATTACCACAGCGTCCTGCCTCTGAGTCTGGACTGAAACCTTCAGCTTTCTCTCCCTCAGAAAGCTTCATGTCTCCAGGGAAAGAAAGAAGTTTGGGAAATTAGGGCTACACTCTGATAGCTGCTAGATTAGATTTACATCACAACACACAATGGCTGGTTAGCTCTGTTAGCTCTGACTACCAGCAGCTGTGTTCCTCCTGTTGTGGCACTACGTTGCTGGAGCGAGCTAGCAGAATCGAGTTACACTTTAAATAAAATAAACCGATATATAAGGTTAGTTACAGACGTATCCGCCCAGGAAATAATTCTGCAGTGAATCTTTTTAACTTTATAAAAAGAGAAAGATAGTGACGATAACATGGTTTCATCTTCACATAATCCAGGTTGACTGCGTTTGAGCACCAATCATCATCGATGTAAACACAGACTCCGCCTCCCCTCTTCCCGTCTCGCTCTGTCGGCTCTGAACACGATCCGCCCGCCCTGGATCCAGGATGTTGATGCAGCAGGTCTCTGTAAAGATGTGGGCACAACTGTTGTGTTGTTTGAGTTATCATGACCCATCACAGGTCAAATAATGACTTATCTTTACTTACTGAGTGCTGGAAGACGTATTCAGATCCTTAACTTTAGTAAAAGTACGAATTGGATGTGATATAAACTTGTATACTACTGGTTCTTTCCGGACACATGTCCCTTTTTGACCAATCCTGGTTCCTACTGGAGTGATTAAAACACTGTGACAGTCAGGGTCCCAGACAGCTCTATTTCAGTTCTGGATACAAAAGCAAACAAAAGGTCTGAAACCACAGCAGCCAACCTCCCGAACCCACAGGCTCTCTCTGTGTCCGCAGTGAAAGGCCTCCAGTCAGGAAGTCAGCTGCATTCTTCACTGTGGCCGAGGTTCTCCGCACATTAACGCACTCATTCTGCTCCCAGACAATAAACACTGTCTACCAGAGGTGGGACGCAGGCTCCTTGTTCTGTACAATCACAAGTCAGCCTCAAGTTGGACATGAAATCCATTTATCTGACAGCTTTAGATACTTTACAAAATAAGATCTGTGCACAGAAAACATGTGAGGAGTTTATAAAATAAGGTGTTTGGTTATAAATGAAACCACCAACAGTTTGTACGAGTACAACGACGACGCTAACTGTCTGTTTTGATGCGTTTACTGAAAGTATTGGTGATAACGTCGAGGTTTGGACTGTTAATTGGACATTCTGGGTGATCGTGATTTCTCACTATTTTCAGAAATGTGTACAAAGCAAGCAATAAATGGATTAATGGAGAAAATGATCAGCCCATAATGGAAATAATTATTAGTCAGATACAAAATAGTTTAAAATGGGCTCCAACAAACTGTGAAATCCTGTTTTTACATTCAAATGTTTTAAATATGAGTTTGAGGTTTTAAAAATGTATTGGATTAATGACCGTTGTATCTGTATGAAGCCTCATTTTTCAGTCTCTCTTAAATGTATTTATGGTCAATATTCATATTGATCATGCTGTAACAACTACAAAACCAACATGGAACCAATATCAATCCTTCATATAAGGAAGTAAAAGAGGTCTCAAATTGAATAATGGTCTTAAATTTGTGTGTGTGTGTGTGATCTAACATATAACATAATATTGATTAACCTCTTAAACCAACATGATTTTTGTGTGAAATGTGATGAGACAGCTTTATTCCCGGTCCTACTGTTCAGTATACCTTCCCTCTTTAGGTGCCCTGATAACCTGTTGTGTGTTTCCTCCCTGTTGTGTGTTCAGGTGTAACGGATCGCTTCCCAACGGCGACAAGGGGAGGCGGAAAAGTCGCTTCGCTCTGTGTCGCAGGAACAAGGCCAACGGTGTGAAACCCAGCACCGTCCACTCATCCTGCACACCTCAGGCTGCCAAGGTGAGAGCTCAACGCAGGTGAAAAGGTTCAGGTTGGGACAGAAGGGAAACCTGAAGAATGAGGCTTACAAACACTTTATTCTGTGTACATCAGTTCTGTTTCTGTAATATCACCAGACTATTTACATAAAGATGTCCTAGAATCAACAACTTACTGCGTCATTAACAGGATTCACACGCTTCCTGAAACAGTCGTGGAAACAGCTGGAAATGTTCCTGATTCCTACCGTTTGGTGTGAAAATGAATCGGACTCCGTGCTGTGGTCAGACCCGGCACCCTGAACCCTGATGAATAAAACAAAGACAAAGAACAACAGTTGTGTTTGTCCTTAAAGCAACATTACGTTAGATCTTGTGCGATTTGTCCAGAGAAGCTGCTGAGTCCGGTTACATTTCCCGCTCGTCCAGCTCCGGTTCTGGCACGACACCGCTGCCGCTCTTTGTCCCAGGCCTGAAAACATCCTCCTCCTCGTTTACATTAATACAACTCAGGGTGGCATTAAAGCGGTTCTTAAGCTCTTATTTTACGGTAGAAAAGCTACGTAATGTGGCTTTAAACCTTAAACATAATGTAACAGTGAATCTCTTCTGTGTTTCTAAAGGCGATCAGCAACAAGGAGCAGCACAGTATTTCATACACGCTGTCCCGGGCGCAGACGGTGGTGGTGGAGTACACCCACGACAGCAACACAGACATGTTCCAGGTCTGGTTCACATATCTTTATCTTCTTCTATCATTTAGTAAACTGACTCAGTGACATATTTGATGGATATTTCATATTAAAACTGTACAATGAATCCAAACAGTGAACTCAACCAGAGATTTGGATGAATTTTGAGCAGATTATTTCCTGTTTAGGGAACTTTTTA